CCGGGCGCTGGTGCTGCGCGCGGCGCTGTCGAGCCGCGCCGCGGGGCAGCCCCGGGCGCCGCGCCGCGTGTGCCGGCGCCGCCGTGGGGCAGCCCCCGGGCGCGCCGGTGCCCCGCTGCGGGTCGAGGGCACTGCCGAGCCGCGCCGCCGCGGGGCAGCCCCGGGCGCGCGGGCGCCGCCCGCGCCGGCTTCGGCTTCGGCTTCGGCCTTCGCCGCGGCCACGTGCCACCCACGGCCTTGGCCCCTTGGCACGCTACCTCGGCTTGGGTGCGGCGGACCTTGGCCTCGGCCCGGCGGGCCTTGGCCTCGGCGTGGCGGGCCTTGGCCTCGGCTCGGCGCGCCTGGCCTCGGCTTCGGCTTTGGTGTTCGCGGCCTCGGCTTCGGCCCTGGCGCTCGCCTGGTCTCTGCCTTGGCTTGCGCCGTTGCTGCGGCGCACGGCCTCGGCCTTCGCCCTCTGGCAAGCCGCCTGGGCCTCGACGCGGTCCCCTCACTTCAACTCGAACTTCCAATATTCGACTCGAACTTCAACACTCGATTCGAACTTCCAATATTCAACCGAACTTCAACAAAAGTCGCACGGTCCCTTACTCGTGCTTTACTCGTAGGGGCGCATGCAAGAGATGTTCCACGACGTGCGCCGATTGATGTACAGCTACGATTTCTCCTCCACGTGTGTCTCCTCCCTCCTGGCCTGCGTAGAGGAATCCGATTGCGGCGCAGACGAGACCTGTGCGTCCCCTGCGTCCTGTCTTGTTTTGCGTGGCGCGTGTGCGGCTGTCCTGATTCGCGCGTCGCGCGCAACCTCCGATGTTGAACTTCACTGTCGACTTCAACTTCAGGTTACTTCTCAAGTTCCAGGAAGAAGCGCCAACTGAATGCTGCGTCCGAGGACTCTGCGAGCCGCAAGCTCCTCTTCGGCTCCAACGCCGTCGGCCAGTGCGTGTGCGACTAGACGCCGCCGAAACCCGCGCGAGATGAGCCGCCCTCGCGCGAGGTCGAAACCCATTCCCGCCTCACCACGCCCCTCCGCGTCCCGCCCTTCCGAAGTTCCTACCTGCCCCAGCTTTAAACTCAACACCATGAATATGAGGCGCGCGAATATGAGGCGCGCGCGCGCGTGCCCAAAGGAAGCAGATTCAACACAAACATGCTTACCCACTTCCCGCCTCCAAAAACGGACACACGTCCGTCTCGCCCCCGACGCTGTCCCAGGGCACGAGGCGGTAGGCGGCCTGGCGGTCCTGGTCCGCCTTGGGCGTCGGGATCGCGACGGTCGTCACCGTCGACCGCCCGTCGACGTTGACCTCGAACGCGAACGCCGTGCCCCGACTGTCGTACTTGTTCGTGTCGTCGAGGGACGTGAACGCGACGAGGTAGTCGCCGTTGGCGAGGGCCGCCGCGGAGCCGCCGACGAGGTTGTAGAGGTCGTCGGTCTTGAAGTTGACGTCGAGCGCGGACGGCCACTCGAACTGCCAGCGGACCCTGGCGACGCGCGCGGCCGCGTCGAGCTCGTAGGCGATGGCCCGCGAGTAGCAGCCGGACGTGTTCGCCGTCGCGCAGCCCGGGCGGTCGTCGCCGTCGTCGATGACGAGCAGGTCGCCGTTGGGCAGCTGCAGCGCCGAGTGCGGGTCGTAGAACTTCTGAGCGTCGTCCTCGAAGCCGTACCAGATCCCGCCGTCGCCGACGCCGGCGTCCGACGCGTTCAGCGTCGACGACAGGGTCCACTGGGCCCCCGAGCCGTCGTGCGCGAGGGACCAGATCGTGTTGAGCGTCCGCGACGCGACCAACACGTTCTCCTCGACGCCGACGGACACGGACGACACCTGCGCGGGAAAAGAGATATTCAACGTCGCTTCAACGTGGGTGTT